GATACGCCTTGAAATAACTCATTTGTCCTCTCAAACTGACACGCCTTGAAATAACTCATTCGTCCTCTCAAACTGACACGCCTTGAAATAACTCATTTGTCCTGTCAAACTGACACGCTTTGAAATAACTCATTCGTCCTCTCAAACTGACACGCCTTGAAATAACTCATTTGTCCTGTCAAACTGATACGCTTTGAAATAACTCATTCGTCCTCTCAAACTGATACGCTTTGAAATAACTCATTCGTCCTCTCAAACTGACACGCTTTGAAATAACTCATTTGTCCTCTCAAACTGACACGCCTTGAAATAACTCATTCGTCCTCTCAAACTGACACGCTTTGAAATAACTCATTCGTCCTCTCAAACTGACACGCCTTGAAATAACTCATTTGTCCTCTCAAACTGACACGCCTTGAAATAACTCATTTGTCCTGTCAAACTGATACGCTTTGAAATAACTCATTCGTCCTCTCAAACTGATACGCTTTGAAATAACTCATTCGTCCTCTCAAACTGACACGCTTTGAAATAACTCATTTGTCCTCTCAAACTGACACGCCTTGAAATAACTCATTCGTCCTCTCAAACTGACACGCCTTGAAATAACTCATTTGTCCTGTCAAACTGACACGCCTTGAAATAACTCATTTTACCTCTCAAACTGACACGCCTTGAAATAACTCATTCGTCCTCTCAAACTGACACGCTTTGAAATAACTCATTTGTCCTCTCAAACTGATACGCTTTGAAATAACTCATTTGTCCTGTCAAACTGACACGCCTTGAAATAACTCATTTGTCCTCTCAAACTGACACGCCTTGAAATAACTCATTCGTCCTCTCAAACTGACACGCTTTGAAATAACTCATTTTTCCTCTCAAACTGACACGCCTTGAAATAACTCATTTGTCCTCTCAAACTGACACGCCTTGAAATAACTCATTCGTCCTCTCAAACTGACACGCTTTGAAATAACTCATTTGTCCTCTCAAACTGACACGCCTTGAAATAACTCATTCGTCCTCTCAAACTGACACGCTTTGAAATAACTCATTTGTCCTCTCAAACTGACACGCCTTGAAATAACTCATTTGTCCTCTCAAACTGACACGCCTTGAAATAACTCATTCGTCCTCTCAAACTGACACGCCTTGAAATAACTCATTCGTCCTCTCAAACTGATACGCTTTGAAATAACTCATTTGTCCTGTCAAACTGATACGCCTTGAAATAACTCATTTGTCCTCTCAAACTGACACGCCTTGAAATAACTCATTCGTCCTCTCAAACTGACACGCCTTGAAATAACTCATTTGTCCTGTCAAACTGACACGCTTTGAAATAACTCATTCGTCCTCTCAAACTGACACGCCTTGAAATAACTCATTCGTCCTCTCAAACTGACACGCCTTGAAATAACTCATTTGTCCTGCCAAACTGATACGCTTTGAAATAACTCATTCGTCCTCTCAAACTGATACGCTTTTAAATAACTCATTCGTCCTCTCAAACTGACACGCTTTGAAATAACTCATTTGTCCTCTCAAACTGACACGCCTTGAAATAACTCATTCGTCCTCTCAAACTGACACGCTTTGAAATAACTCATTCGTCCTCTCAAACTGACACGCCTTGAAATAACTCATTTGTCCTCTCAAACTGACACGCCTTGAAATAACTCATTTGTCCTGTCAAACTGATACGCTTTGAAATAACTCATTCGTCCTCTCAAACTGATACGCTTTGAAATAACTCATTCGTCCTCTCAAACTGACACGCTTTGAAATAACTCATTTGTCCTCTCAAACTGACACGCCTTGAAATAACTCATTCGTCCTCTCAAACTGACACGCCTTGAAATAACTCATTTGTCCTGTCAAACTGACACGCCTTGAAATAACTCATTTTACCTCTCAAACTGACACGCCTTGAAATAACTCATTCGTCCTCTCAAACTGACACGCTTTGAAATAACTCATTTGTCCTCTCAAACTGACACGCCTTGAAATAACTCATTCGTCCTCTCAAACTGACACGCTTTGAAATAACTCATTTGTCCTCTCAAACTGACACGCCTTGAAATAACTCATTTGTCCTCTCAAACTGACACGCCTTGAAATAACTCATTCGTCCTCTCAAACTGACACGCTTTGAAATAACTCATTTGTCCTCTCAAACTGACACGCCTTGAAATAACTCATTCGTCCTCTCAAACTGACACGCTTTGAAATAACTCATTTGTCCTGTCAAACTGATACGCCTTGAAATAACTCATTTGTCCTCTCAAACTGACACGCTTTGAAATAACTCATTCGTCCTGTCAAACTGACACGCCTTGAAATAACTCATTCGTCCTCTCAAACTGATACGCTTTGAAATAACTCATTTGTCCTGTCAAACTGATACGCCTTGAAATAACTCATTTGTCCTCTCAAACTGACACGCCTTGAAATAACTCATTCGTCCTCTCAAACTGACACGCCTTGAAATAACTCATTCGTCCTCTCAAACTGACACGCCTTGAAATAACTCATTCGTCCTCTCAAACTGACACGCCTTGAAATAACTCATTCGTCCTCTCAAACTGACACGCCTTGAAATAACTCATTTGTCCTCTCAAACTGACACGCCTTGAAATAACTCATTCGTCCTCTCAAACTGACACGCCTTGAAATAACTCATTCGTCCTCTCAAACTGATACGCCTTGAAATAACTCATTTGTCCTGTCAAACTGATACGCCTTGAAATAACTCATTCGTCCTCTCAAACTGACACGCTTTGAAATAACTCATTCGTCCTCTCAAACTGACACGCTTTGAAATAACTCATTCGTCCTGTCAAACTGATACGCCTTGAAATAACTCATTTGTCCTCTCAAACTGACACGCTTTGAAATAACTCATTCGTCCTGTCAAACTGACACGCCTTGAAATAACTCATTCGTCCTCTCAAACTGACACGCCTTGAAATAACTCATTCGTCCTCTCAAACTGACACGCCTTGAAATAACTCATTCGTCCTCTCAAACTGACACGCCTTGAAATAACTCATTTGTCCTCTCAAACTGACACGCCTTGAAATAACTCATTCGTCCTCTCAAACTGACACGCCTTGAAATAACTCATTCGTCCTCTCAAACTGATACGCCTTGAAATAACTCATTTGTCCTGTCAAACTGATACGCCTTGAAATAACTCATTCGTCCTCTCAAACTGACACGCTTTGAAATAACTCATTCGTCCTCTCAAACTGACACGCTTTGAAATAACTCATTCGTCCTGTCAAACTGATACGCCTTGAAATAACTCATTTGTCCTCTCAAACTGACACGCTTTGAAATAACTCATTCGTCCTGTCAAACTGACACGCCTTGAAATAACTCATTCGTCCTCTCAAACTGATACGCCTTGAAATAACTCATTTGTCCTCTCAAACTGACACGCTTTGAAATAACTCATTCGTCCTGTCAAACTGACACGCCTTGAAATAACTCATTCGTCCTCTCAAACTGATACGCTTTGAAATAACTCATTTGTCCTGTCAAACTGATACGCCTTGAAATAACTCATTTGTCCTCTCAAACTGACACGCCTTGAAATAACTCATTCGTCCTCTCAAACTGATACGCTTTGAAATAACTCATTTGTCCTGTCAAACTGATACGCTTTGAAATAACTCATTTGTCCTCTCAAACTGACACGCCTTGAAATAACTCATTCGTCCTCTCAAACTGACACGCCTTGAAATAACTCATTCGTCCTCTCAAACTGATACGCTTTGAAATAACTCATTTGTCCTGTCAAACTGATACGCCTTGAAATAACTCATTCGTCCTCTCAAACTGACACGCCTTGAAATAACTCATTCGTCCTCTCAAACTGATACGCTTTGAAATAACTCATTTGTCCTGTCAAACTGATACGCTTTGAAATAACTCATTTGTCCTCTCAAACTGACACGCCTTGAAATAACTCATTCGTCCTCTCAAACTGACACGCCTTGAAATAACTCATTCGTCCTCTCAAACTGATACGCTTTGAAATAACTCATTTGTCCTGTCAAACTGATACGCCTTGAAATAACTCATTCGTCCTCTCAAACTGACACGCCTTGAAATAACTCATTCGTCCTCTCAAACTGATACGCTTTGAAATAACTCATTCGTCCTGTCAAACTGATACGCCTTGAAATAACTCATTCGTCCTCTCAAACCGACACGCCTTGAAATAACTCATTCGTCCTCTCAAACCGACACGCCTTGAAATAACTCATTTGTCCTGTCAAACTGACACGCCTTGAAATAACTCATTTGTCCTCTCAAACTGACACGCCTTGAAATAACTCATTCGTCCTCTCAAACTGACACGCTTTGAAATAACTCATTTGTCCTCTCAAACTGACACGCCTTGAAATAACTCATTTGACCTCTCAAACCGACACGCCTTGAAATAACTCATTTGTCCTCTCAAACTGACACGCCTTGAAATAACTCATTCGTCCTCTCAAACTGACACGCTTTGAAATAACTCATTTGTCCTCTCAAACTGACACGCCTTGAAATAACTCATTTGACCTCTCAAACCGACACGCCTTGAAATAACTCATTTTTCCTCTCAAACTGACACGCCTTGAAATAACTCATTTTACCTCTCAAACTGACACGCCGTGAAATAACTCATTTGAAGCTCAAAACCTCACCCACACACCTACATGTATTTAAGGTTCAATTGACCATTTGCTGTTTTGTATATGTTCAAATTCAAACGCAAAACACGTTGACAATTGTGTCGCCAGAATACAATGGCAAGTGTGTGTCTTTGTGCTGTGAGTGAGTCCGCCCCCTTTCCACAGAGACGACGCTCTCTGTGACCGATTGTGTGACGGTAAGCATGTTGTTACCACCTATTGATGGAGGCCGCTGTGATTATAACATTAGAAACAAGCAATATACCTTATTCTAAATTACAATAAATAATAAAGCAGCTGGTTACTTACAGGGACATGGTAGCCGGTATATTGGGAGCCCACTGCAATAAGCTGTATACTGGGACACTGTATCCTGACTGCCACGTTACAGGAAATCCCTGATCTAACATTACATTGACATCACAGTTCCTAGAAACATGGAAATAGATATGACACATACTTTGCTACAACTTTCGTTTCCCTCTAATGCCTCTAACGTCCATTGTTTCTATTGCTTGTGCAACAATTCAATGTGTGTAATCTGTACAATTGCCAGCTTATAGAATGGTATTGTAATCGTTCATGACACTGACGTCTTGTTGTGTCAAATGAAACCGCATCTGCATACACCCTTAACACAGAGATACAGAGGTCAGTGTGACATTCACCTTCACACACTGTCGAACGGTCTGATTGATCGATAAAACATGGACGCATTTCACCTGAGCTGAACATATAATTGTTGCCTTCTCGTTTTCAATCATTTTAGAATTGTTTTGACTGGTTGTAGATACCGAAGTACCGACCTGTTCAAATATCACTTAAGATATAAAAATAATTAACATAACATTGTCAGAAACAATATAAACTGTTGCGTCTTGTATTGAATATTTCGACGCCTATGTACCTGTAATCTAGTGTTCAATACACCAGTGAAGCATTCAAGTTAAACTACAGATCGTGGCACAAGTTGCATAACAGGGCATGGAGGAAATGCTCATACAGTTGACACTATGTGTTCATTGCATTCTTCTGGGAAGTTTTTACAGTTACGTAAATACGAACATACCCGTGCACTTTTGGTGTATTCACAACATCATAACTTCGGGTATGTGTGAATGGAGCATAAACAATTAGGCGCCTCCTTTGTTGCTGCAAGCATCGATGTACATGTCAATCTTTCTACATAAGTCTAGTGTTGGAGCACGTTATTCCGTTAACCTGTAACCTTATAGATCTTTGAGCTGCATTTGAAAACTGTTGACAGCTGTTCCTAGCGCTTGCTTAACCAGTCCTTGCAACTAGCATTCCCATCCATGACAAGGTGGCGGCTGCCAAAAAATACTTGGATATCGCATATAAGAAATCTTTAATTTTCGCATGGTTTTGGTTTTATATGGCTATGTCAGTCAGTTGGAAATGTTAATATGTTTTTTTAATGAATTTCGGAATCGGTCTATAAATATGTTCTACCAAGAATGGCACTCCACTTTAGAGGATGGTTCACGTTATGAATATTACAAAACTTTCAAGACTTTACTTCAACCAGAAATATATATTTATCAGTACTCACTACTGAAAACTTACGAAAACAGTTAATTAAATAACGACTTGGTTTGCTAGACCTATTTGTAAATGAAGGAAGAAAACTGTCCATTGAAAAAAATGAAAAGAATTTGTCCATTGTGTAATCTAGAGATAGAAAATGAAATTCATTTTGTGTTTGTCTGTCCATTTTACAATGATCTCCGAAAGAAATATATAAAAGATTATTTAATAGCAATGTCACCGATAGATGCCTTTGTAGTTATGCTGATGACAAAGAACAAATCAAATATATTAAATCTTTCTCTTTATATTAAGCATGCATTAGCCAAAAGAAATGAATTATTCAAACAACGTGTATATCCCAATGTGTAACATATATGATTGTATCTACATGCGTAACTCTTTCTTGTATATGGGCTGGTGGCCTTTTGTACAAGAAACTTCTTTGACTTCTTTGACCATGGAGGTATATTGGTATAGCTTTATCTTCAAGGTTCAGGGCAATTTGTCAAAATTGAAAGCAAATATCATCTGATGCGTACTGAGAGGAAGAATTATGTGATAAGTTGTCTCCATCATTGATAAGATCGATGTCAAATTCGCAGACAAGACATTCAGACAAGAAGCGGGCTCCCCCAAGTGCGTCCATTGTGCGAACTCTCACTGTCGGGCTGTAGTAGTTCCATCATCCTGCCGTTAAAACGGCGCACTATTAAATAAAACATGATGTCGAAATATCACCACAATCTTTCATTCCTTACGACTTTGAATTTCATGTTGCAAATGAGAGTAACTCCCTTTGAACCAAGTCAGTCGTTAGAAATTGTTTACGAGTTACGTCCCCTGATTGGCAAAGACGTGGTTTGTGAGTGCTCCTGAGACTAAGATACAGAATCGTCAGTTTTATCAAACATCAGGTTTCAAGGGTACAAAACAATGTGCTGGTAACTGTAACCCAGCTTGGAGGCCTTGTGGCTGGTTGTCTCTACCATGGAACTGAAAGACGGGGTTGTGTGGGGGGATGTCTCTACCAATGTAGTGATCCTGGGGGCCACGTTGTTGGTTGTCTCTACCGTGGAACTGAAAGGCGGGGCTGTGTGGGGGGATTTCTCTACCAATGTAGTGATGCTGGGGGCCACGTTGTTGGTTGTCTCTACCATGGAACTGAAAGACGTGGTTGTGTTGGGGGATGTCTCTACCAGTGTAGTGATCCTGGGGGCCACGTTGTTGGTTGTCTCTACCATGGAACTGAAAGACGGGGCTGTGTGGGGGGATTTCTCTACCAATGTAGTGATCCTGGGGGCCACGTTGTTGGTTGTCTCTACCATGGAACTGAAAGACGGGGCTGTGTGGGGGGATTTCTCTACCAGTGTAGTGATCCTGGAGGCCACGTTGTTGGTTGTCTCTACCATGGAACTGAAAGACGGGGTTGTGTGGGGGGATTTCTCTACCAATGTAGTGATCCTGGGGGCCACGTTGTTGGTTGTCTCTACCATGGAACTGAAAGACGGGGTTGTGTGGGGGGATTTCTCTACCAGTGTAGTGATCCTGGGGGCCACGTTGTTGGTTGTCTCTACCGTGGAACTGAAAGACGGGGCTGTGTGGGGGGATTTCTCTACCAGTGTAGTGATCCTGGGGGCCACGTTGTTGGTTGTCTCTACCATGGAACTGAAAGACGGGGCCGTGTGGGAGGATTTCTCTACCAGTGTAGTGATCCTGGGGGCCACGTTGTTGGTTGTCTCTACCATGGAACTGAAAGAAGGGCCCGTGTGGGGGGATTTCTCTACCAATGTAGTGATCCTGGGGGCCACGTTGTTGGTTGTCTCTACCGTGGAACTGAAAGACGGGGCTGTGTGGGGGGATTTCTCTGCCAGTGTAGTGATCCTGGGGGCCACGTTGTTGGTTGTCTCTACCATGGAACTGAAAGACGGGGTTGTGTGGGGGGATGTCTCTACAAATGTAGTGATCCTGGGGGCCACGTTGTTGGTTGTCTCTACCATGGAACTGAAAGACGGGGCTGTGTGGGGGGATTTCTCTACCAATGTAGTGATGCTGGGGGCCACGTTGTTGGTTGTCTCTACCGTGGAACTGAAAGACGGGGTTGTGTGGGGGGATTTCTCTACCAGTGTAGTGATTCTGGGGGCCACGTTGTTGGTTGTCTCTACTGTGGAACTGAAAGAAGGGCTCGTGTGGTGGGCTGTCTCTACCATTGTACTGAACTCCGTGTGGAGGGTAAGACGTTGGCCAACACTGATAGTCTTCAACAAGGTCCCCGGGTAAAGCCTGATAACGGTTATTGTGTATCCCTCCATCTGGAACATAATGGGGGTTGGGACTTGTCTCCTGGCGTTGACGTTGTCTGGCTTCTTCTTGCATGATGTTTTTTGTACGTTCTGAAAAGCAATAAGACGAAAACACGTGATGCTGTGTTACTGTAGATCTGACAATACAATAAATCATTTGCTTGATGTTAATTCTGAATCCTATGAAACACTCGGGGGGACTTCAAGATGACAAAAGGGCCTGATACCCAGACATTCTTTTCAGGAAGCGTCCATACACACAGCGTGCACGAAAGTCTTAATCCAGAAGAGGGGCGGTGGGATAGCCTAGTGGATCAAGGGTTTCTTAAAGCGAAGTCCCGGGTTCGATTCTCCACATGGGTACAAAAGGTGAAGCCGATTTCTCCTCCGCAGTGATATTGCTAAAGGCGGCGTGCACTATAATATCGGTATTAGTGCAATCATCCACACACATACACATACGTGCATGCACATCGCTCTATAAATGCACTTATCTTGAACGCGACGTTAGGCTCCATTCCACCTCACCTCATTCAGTGACATGCTGACCCTGCCGATCAGTTCCTCCCTTGTGTCCCCGGTAAAACCCTTCAGTTTAATCCCAACCGACCATAAACATTTCTCCAGTGCACGACCGTCGTCAAAACATGGTCTATATCAGACAGATCATGGGTTATCAGCGGACTTCAAATGTTTGAACAAGGATATTTTTAAAAGCAGACAAATACCGCGGATCTCTATTGAAAATACAGCGGCGTGACGGCACAGGCTATTGTGTTACGTAAAGGACATCACTGTCTACTGAGTCACAACCTCGGTCCTTGCCCTTGTCTCGAGACATGGTGGGTAGTTACAACACATCTCTCTTGTTCCTCACACATCAAGGCAAGGTCCTTGGGGCGGATGATTTCGGGTTTATCAAGGAAAAGTAAACGGCTTACAAAGTACATATAGATGAGCTTTTCACACTGGGGCGTGACTACAGAGAGCAGCCAAGGTGGTCGGTGTATTGAGAGCTGGGTACGAAGCCGACCGGTCTGTCACCGCCAAATAAAATGCAAATACCCAACATGTTGGTTTATATTATGAAGAATCACTCATATTCCACAGATATTAGATTGGTTCGATGCACAAACGAAGAAACTGTTATGCTGTGTGAACCGACGCTCATGAACGCATCACATGTTACGTCATAGATCCGTGACTCGTGATGCACCATTTGTCTCGTGCAGAACCAGCGTGTAAAGTTTGGACAGCACGTGCAGCATACCGTGAAAAGAATAAAGACACTCTGGTAACATTTGACTGATCGTTAGTTTTGTCATAAAGTGATACACTTTGGACACATCTCTTCTTGACGTACATACTTCTCTATATGTTTCTATGGCTCGCGTTTCATTTGGTGGTGAGTATATAGCTTCAGTAACCGCTACTTGTAAGAGTAACTAATTGCTTCATGTGGCCAGGCTCGGAAACTTCTGCTGGCAAACCAGTATTAATAGCATGTGCAACGATCCACAGCATCAGGTCAGACATTGTGACCATTCACACCGCGTCAAAGTAAATAATGAAAGTATTGTACGTACCAACTATTCTGTGAAAGGTCAGATGTATTTTTGTATCCGCAGAACGTCTCTCCTGAGAATACTTCAGGAGGATCCACAACCGGGAACTTGCATATTTCTCAACAAACTCAATCAATGGCTCCAATTCGGCGAGGACGTCGAGTAGTTCTAACCAGGTGTTTTTTTTAAATGATCTCAGGTTCGTTCTCTTCTCCACCAGCTTCACCAACCCTGCAACGTTGTCGTTGTGATCGCTGACATTGAGGAAGTTACCAACGTCGTGAGGGCGATTAATGTCCCAACAAATCTTGTACAAAGCCGCAAAATAAATATTCAATGTCACATTAAGTCCGTGCCGCTTAAAGGTATCGACGAGACCACAATAAAGTTCTGCACACTTTCCACAGGGGCTGTAATTCTGATAAATTGTTACTTTGAAAGAACTGCCCAACTCAAACATGCGCAAGAAATGTCTGTTTTTCAAAAGTTCCTCCAATTCCTTTATTAAAAAATATTCAGCATGTTTGCACCAGGTGCTTGACATCTTCTCAGAACGGAACACCTTCCATGTTATGTTTCCCAAAACACAAGCAGCCACGCCCAGCCTTGGGCGGTCATATTCACGTACCCCAGAAGTCCAAAATGTCCACAGATTGTCCATATTGAGTTGTTGACGGTGGGGGGATCTGTAGCAGCATTCGCATCCAGATGGCAAATATCTATAAACTTAAAAATAAACATAAGCACCCTTAAAGTTTGGAAGTTTCTTGGTATGTTTTTACGTCTGTTCTGGGGCAGCTCTAGTCGTGTGTGAGTTATTTTAAACACGTATTCTTACTGCCTGTTGCCGGCATGGGACGGTGCAGTGAAAGCTCAGTCACAACCTCCAGTCCCAGTGGACCCACAAGCAGATCCAGTACTATAAGACAGCCAAGTTAATCACTAAACTGACTCAGGGGTGGGTTTCGGGTGACATTTTTACACATGTACTGAAAAGATGCATTGAAATTCATTATGAAGCATTGTGCGATTCTGTGCCAAACAGGCCGATCATTAAGGCTATGCTGTTCCTAAGATCAGGATCAAACACATGCATGCCACCCCAAACATGCCAGGGCAACAGTACGTCACTCAACGCCCTTTAGTAACATATCTGTCTCTTAAAAACTTACACTCGTAATTCAGTATCCCCCGATCCCAACCAAATAGACGAATAACGCTAACAAGATATCTGTATCGCGGTTTTCACCTATACCTACAGGGATGTCATAATCTAGATCCATGTGCCCATCAGGACGAGGGATGTGTCGGAGCTGCCCACACTGGACTAGGACCTCATACCTGGGGACGATTTGAAAGAAATCCTACTTTCAATTTGAACTTCCAAGTAAAAGGTTAGAGGTAATATTTTGTCCTCCTGCCACACGACGGTCGGCAGAGATAAGACACGTTAATGCTTTATACAAGCCGTTTACAGCTGTCAGTCATGACGCAGGTATGCTCGATCAGGGCTACTTCTCAAGTGATCAGGTATCTCATTCCGCGTCATAGCATCGGCTACTTGAAAGGACCTGAGGCAATAGGATTTGTGGAATATGCAAGAATTAAAGCTTTGTGACTTGAGGGAAGTGGTCTGCTTGGAGTGTATTGAAATAACAGGTCTTGTGGTAACCTGGTGCTTCTCCGTGTATCCAATGGGAGGTTTGTTTGTTTGTTGTTGTTTAACGTCGCACCCAGCAATATTCCAGCTATATGACGGCGGTCTGTAAATAATCGAGTCTGGGCCAGACAATCCAGTGATTGATATCATGAGCATCGATCCATGCATCAACCAAGTCAGCGAGCCTGATAACCCGATCCCGTTAGTCTCCTCTTACAACAAGCATAGTCGCCGTATACTGCACGCATGGGTTGCTGAAGACCTATTCTACCCCTGATCTTCACGGGTGTACCCTGGTTGGTGACTGGCGAGATCTTGAAGTCAACTCGTGCTCTGACAGGTCCGTCATGGTGGGTTGTAATACAGGAGATATGTCGTCCTCGCCATTTGAAGTAGAATCACGAAATATCGCGATGATCACCTCACGAAGATGGCTCCATGAGTACTAATACTTATAATAGGAAAACAAGCCATTCCGCCGGTAAGGAATATTATTTAAAATATGACAAACATGTCAAAGATAAACATCATCATTTAGTTTTGATCACGTGATTACCATCCATGTAAGAATCGGCAGTCAGATTACTATGATCGGTTATATCTCGTACAGCGTGCATCTGGGACAAGGTGAATAGCGACGTACGGAGTCAGCTCCCTGTGGAGGATACATCCCAAGCTACCTGTAGGGCAGTAGAAGCTTTACAGTCACATCACATCCTATTGGGTACCCATTCACTGCTGGGTGAACAGAGGCCTTTTCGGAACAAAGTCACCTGGATAAGGAGACACCACGTGCTCCCACGTGCTTCAGGGCGGAAGGACCGAAGCCGTAGAAACCCTGAGGAGTTAGACAGCTAAACATGGCCACCCATCCACCTACTCTCTGCCACCAGCGCTGCTTAACTTTGCCTGATTTGTGACCTGCGCGATGTTTACATGTTTACAAGATCACGTGCTACCACTGATATGAGAAGTCGTGTGTATGTTTTGTGTCATCCTCCATCTTCCAGAGGCAAGAAAGTTAACTGACTAAAAAAGTCCAGTTTCCACCCTTGCAGAACTAGGCTGGTATTATGGAGTTACTTTTTGGCTGGACTAACGAGTCTATGCATAGTTCAATCAAAATCGCGCTCCGAAATTGAAACCCGGTTCGTAAACTCATACAGATTTCGGTCGATTGCAGGATTTGCAAAGCATGTGCACCACCAACCCGTTGTCAGATATTTTCCAAATCTTCTCATGTTTTTAATCAAGGTGCTCACGTGATTTGAGGCATTTCGCAACGTGAGACCCGTGATACGAGAGGTGGAGTCTGATTGGTCAGTAGGAGAGGTTTAGAAGGGACATAATTAACAATAACCACTGGTGGCGCAACAATCGAGGCCAGTAATTCCAGCCTAGTTGGGGAAAGGGTGGAAACTGGACTTTTAAAGTCAGTTAACTCTCTTGCCTCGGGAAGATGGTCATCCTAGATTATCTGATGTATTAAATTGTGTTGTGATACATCTCCTGGACCCTTTCGCTACAACACGCGTACGACGCTAAGAACCAATCCTTCAATGATTCAACTCTCCAGGTCGGGGTATTGTGTGCAATGTTGGAGCTAGGGGCGGGGAAGGTAAGGAGGTCTTCACCTTCAAACTGAAACCATGGCGAAGAATGGATCAATGACATATAGCAATATAGAAATGTCATATCAAACACTGGATAATCGAGGGTGCTTTTGGTGTCCTTCTTCGCAGATTCTGAAGCTGCGTGCATTTGACCTCCTCATTCGTCCTCTCAAACTGACACGCCTTGAAATAACTCATTTGAAGCTCAAAACCTCACCCACACACCTACATGTATTTAAGGTTCAATTGACCATTTGCTGTTTTGTATATGTTCAAATTCAAACGCAAAACACGTTGACAATTGTGTCGCCAGAATACAATGGCAAATGTGTGTCTTTGTGCTGTGAGTGAGTCAGCCCACTTTCCACAGCGACGGCGCTCTCTGTGACCGATTGTGTGACGGTAAGCATGTTGTTACCACCTATTGATGGAGGCCGCTGTGATTATAACATTAGAAACAAGCAATATACCTTATTCTAAATTACAATAAATAATAAAGCAGCTGGTTACTTACAGGGACATGGTAGCCGGTATATTGGGAGCCCACTGCAATAAGGTGCATACTGGGACACTGTATCCTGACTGCCACGTTACAGGAAATCCCTGATCTAACATTACATTGACATCACAGTTTCCTGGAAACATGGAAATAGATATGACACATACTTTGCTACAACTTTCGTTTCCCCATACTGTGACAGTCAGTGTTAAAATGGAGTTACTAAACCATGTGAGGGTTGTAAGTAGGTACAGAACGTGTTACATTGTGAGGTATGAATACATACGCCACGTACTTTGCTATTGCTTTCGTTTCCTCTTACTGCGGCAGTCAGTGTTACAATGGAGTTATGACGCCCACCAGACTTCCTCATCATGTGATCTGTAGTTATCAGGTTTATATTTATGGCCCGCCTTCCTGGAAACAGACTTCGTAGAAACTGATTGCGACACACCGACCGGCTGTTCAATTTTTATCACTGCGAACTTTGCGCCTCTAACGTCCATTGTTTCTATTGCTTGTGCAACAATTCAATGTGTGTAATCTGTACAATTGCCAGCTTATAGAATGGTATTGTAATCGTTCATGACACTGACGTCTTGTTGTGTCAAATGAAACCGCATCTGCATACACCCTTAACACAGAGATACAGAGGTCAGTGTGACATTCACCTTCACACACTGTCGAACGGTCTGATTGATCGATAAATCATGGACGCATTTCACCTGAGCTGAACATATAATTGTTGCCTTCTCGTTTTCAATCATTTTAGAATTGTATTGACTGTTTGTAGGTACCGAAGTACCGACCTGTTCAAATATCACTTAAGATATAAAAATAATTAACATAACATTGTCAGAAACAATATAAACTGTTGCATCTTGTATTGAATATTTCGACGCCTGTGTACCTGTAATCTAGTGTTCAATACACCAGTGAAGCATTCAAGTTAAACTACAGATCGTGGCACAAGTTGCATAACAGGGCATGGAGGAAATGCTCATACAGTTGACACTATGTGTTCATTGCATTCTTCTGGGAAGTTTTTACAGTTACGTAAATACGAACATACCCGTGCACTTTTGGTGTATTCACAACATCATAACTTCGGGTATGTGTGAATGGAGCATAAACAATTAGGCGCCTCCTTTGTTGCTGCAAGCATCGATGTACATGTCAATCTTTCTACATAAGTCTAGTGTTGGAGCACGTTATTCCGTTAACCTGTA